CATGGCTGGAAGGCCTGATGGTTCCAGAAAAAGACATGCAAATGGTCAATAGATCTATGTAGAAATGCTCAGCATCAAAGATCACCAAGCAAACAACCAAAACTAGATGAGACACCACTGCCCTCCAGTTAAAATGACCATCATCTAAACAGGAGATAAGCATGGAAGGTGGTGGAGAAAAAGAGAACAGGCACACACCATCAGTTGGTATGTTAGTCAGTTTCCCACTACTCTAACAAAATCAGTGTGATAATCAATTTATGAGAATAAAGAGCTTATTGTGGATTACAATTTCGAGACAGTAGTCTAAACGCCAGTGGTATTCATGCATTGGTTGGGTCTTTGGTGAGACAACAAATTCGGTCAGGAGGGCATGTTGGAGCAAACTGGCTACACTGTGAGACAGAAAACAGACACGAAGGGATGACTGGGTGACCACAGTCTACTTAATGGTGGCATAGTCTCTTTAAGGGCATGCTCCAAGGTCCTAACCACTTCCTACTAAGACCCACACATTAAGTTCCACCTCTTCCAAGTCCCATCATATCTCAAAACCAAATCTTTGATTCAAGAGCCTTTGAGAGCCATTCAATCAAAACTGGCAGCAGTGGCAATGTTACACTAGAGGACCCATCTCAGAAAATACTATAGAGGCAATTTCAAAACTTTACAGAGAGAACTACACAGAATGCAGTGACTCTATCACTAGATTTACATTCAAAAGGAATGAAAAGATACCTCCACACACATATTGATTGAAGCACTGTTCTTAGTAGCCAGACTACGAAATCAATCCAAGTGACCATCAGTGTTTGGGCAGATAAAGAACACATGATATACGTATATACAATGGCACTGTATGGCCATCAAAATAAAAAAATCCTGACATCTACCCCACCATGGACAAACCTGGAGGGGTTGAGGGTAAGTCAAATATGCCAGGCACAAAAACGCCAGTGCTCCCATGATCTGTGTGCCTCTCACTCACACATGCAACCTGAAAGAGTTGACGGCAAAGACGGAAAATTCAGAGGGGGACCATGGAATCTGAAGTACTTGTAGGCAGATGGTCAGATATGGGTCAAAACTACATCACTACTGTTAGGAGGAACACACTTCCCGAGACTTAGTACATAGCAAGGCAACCATAAGTGCTAATGATATGTTCTGTTTGTGAAAAATGTAAAGAGAATGGATATTATGACCTCTTTTCACAGAAATAGCTATGTGAGGGAATAGATTGACACATTAGCAAGGTTCAGCTATATCAAAATCAAGACACACACATGCATGCATATGAACACACAAACACACACATGTTGTTCAAAATGTGAGACTGTCCATCATTTAAAAAAAATCATGCATTATTCTTTAGCAGTTCACAAAATAAACTGCCAAAAAGTCTTCTGTGACAATGTCTCCATCATTTTTTACCAATATTTTCTGAATTACAAATGGCTTATAGCCCTAAGTCATGAACAGGGAAAAGAGCCATTTGGAATAGAAGATAGGTCATGGACTTTCATTTAACAAAGTATGAAAAATTTGCTGATAGAATTTCCTGCTCTATGTTGCCAGTAAGTTCCTTGGCACTGTCCTTTGTGGAGAGATAATATCAATGGTTATCTGAAGAGGGGACCAAACAAAAAGTATTTTTCCACTTCCCTACTCCATCTATCTATGAGACAATGGATTCTTCTCACATATTTTAACTGAAAAACAAAGCCTCACATTGCAATAGACTAGAAAAAAGGTTTGAGAACCCAGCTGCATTCCGTAAATCAATGTCAAAGAGATTTTCAAATGTAATACAACATCGCTATCACCAAATTTTCAGGTTTGAACACATAAAGTCTCTAAACAAAACAAAAATTCTATGCTTAACACAATGTTAATATTATGTTAAAATTAATAGCCTATATTTTCCCATTTCATTCTTAAAACTAGTAAATGAAAATAGCTAAGGCTTACCTAATTTAAAGGCCATTGCAGTATTTCCCAGGAGTATAAAGGAGTCCTGACAGCCATGGCTTAGAAGCACTTCTGTGACCTGAGGTGGACTGCACCCCTCCTTCCACTTCCACGGGAACCCCTATGTCAGGACACCTGCTTACTTCTTTATTTTCTGAGTTTCTGACAATCCTCATTTCATTTGTAGAGCAGGGATAATTACTATGGTCTATCCTTAGGTTAATTAATGAGTGGAGTCAACTTTACTAAAAATCTCCCTTTCCCCAGCTTTTCTTGTTGATTTCTTCCTCAGGCATAGAGGCCTGTTCTTGTCTTAATTCTCCCATGTTACTTAGCAGCAGACAGTTTGGAACACCTGCTGTATACCACCTAATAAGGCTCTTAAATTACAAAGACTAATGAAACAAAGTCTCTGGTCACCATGGGGTCCAGCCAACACTCCAAGCCACATCCTATATAAAACAGAATTTTTGAAAGTTCAGATATTTATTAACTAATTTCCATACTACATCTCTATATTTTGTTGTATTTAGAAAAATGACACAAACTTTATGGGAGCTGCTCTCACATAATCAAGACTGTGATCTCTCCTGAGAATACAGGGAGACAAAATAAAAGAGAAATCAATTTTGTAAGCCATGAGACAGCCGTCAGAGGCATTCCTGCTCACGCCAAATCTTTGGCTCTGACAGGTTGAATAAAGGAATGTGTCCTCTAGACAAATCCCCATCCCAAGTACCAGAGCTAGAAAAAGAATGCAGGTCTCAGTCCATCTTTTACCTGTGACCATCTGACTGTGCATGGAATGTGATCAGCCAGGACCTGCTGAACCCAACCAAGCAAGCCAGATTCCTAGGAAGAAAATTTCAAAAATACATGGGACAGTTTGAACTTGGAAACAAACAATTTAAAAGGCACATATGACATCAAAACTTTCTAACTTCTTTATGTAGAATCACAGTACATTAACTGAGCAAAAGGAAAAAAGTAGTTTATTGTATATATGGGAACGATACAACCAATAATAATATGAAATTTCAGCTCCTAACTACTGCTTTCAATATTCTTTTGGGGGGAAAAACATTTGTTTTTAATTTCAGGAGTGGCTGAAGCTTGGGAACTCAAAGTTGGTTTGCAATTTCAGCACTTTGGTATACACACAGGGCACACACACACTCATTGGATTGAATTCTCCTCTTTTTAAAGGCAGAGAGTACAGGAAGTCAATGATCACTTTTCATACTGATGTTTCTTGAAGTTAAAGGCACCATGGGCATGCCATTCCTCATTCCTGACAAAAGTTATTTATAATTATTATTTTTAATCTTAATGTCTGTGGCAGTGATTTGGCTATTTTTAATAATATTTTTTATATTTATACCAAGGCAACTTCAGCACCTTGAGAAAGTCACAAAGCATAAAGAATCTCTAACAATAACAAGCATCTCTTCTCATGCTCCACACTTCTGAAAAAAATAGTTCCCTGAACTAAACACCTAATAATATTATCTGTTTAACAAATGCATTCATTACCTAAAGAGACTTAATTGCCTGCCTTCAGAAAATATTTTGATTTTCAAACTAATCAAAGCTCTTCATCTGAGAAATAATTACGGAGAAGAAAGTGAGAGACAGGGTTGTGATTAGGAAAGAAGCCTCGAATCAAAAAAAAGTTATAGATAAATCATGACCCTGAGCCTAACCAAAGAGTTCTGATGCTAAAATCTTTAAAGAAATAAGTAGGTGAAAGGGGGGCAATTTTCCCATCAAGAATTCAGAGTAGGTATACAAGATAAACTGAAATCCACTTACAATTATATCTCTATTGGGAACCGTATTTCTAATCATCTCTAATGCCCTCTAAGCCATGACTACTCCATCCATAGGATGCATACACTACGTATCATGAAAACAAAATCCCAGAGACTTTCAAAAGACATTAGTAATGAAAGAGCATTAAAAAATAAAGAGCATTCCAAAAGAGAAAAAAGCAAGGGAAGATGCAGAAGTCTCAATTTCTCCAGCATGCTGTGTTGGGATCTCTGCCGAGTATCACAAACCACATTTGATATTTTGAGTTTTTGGATGAATGACAAATGCTAGACTGTCTCTGAGGAGAGTAAGGGAAAGGGAGCAAGAACTTAGAAAACATCAAAGGAGCTTTCCAGAATGCAACTGTATCAATTCACTGAGAGGAGTTCAATTGAGAAAAGGTTATGGGTGAAATAGGACAGGTGGAGGTAGTAACTCAGGATTCACCTTGGAGAGCCCAAATCTGGGACTGTATTTTAATGCTACAGAGTATCAAGTTCTTACCTGCCTACTGACACAAGTGCCTACACCATGGTATCAAACAACACAGTTCTGTCTCAAGAGCCAGTGTGGACTCTCTGACCATTCACAGTACTCTATCTACATTAATTTAAAGGAAGTCAGTAGATAGTACTTAAACTGTACTGGCAGAGGCAATCAAAAATCTCCTCAAACTTGGCTCAGCACATTGAAATTACTCACTGTCCATAGATAATCTGTGGAGCTTGCTAGGGACTGGGAAGTTAACACTGCTCTGATATAAACTGCCACTGGGGCTCCATTGTCACCCAGCTCAGAAGGTTTCTGCCACACAGGGTTCTAACAAAGCTCTCTTTGGATTAGGGGTTTCTTGACTCTGAGACTGCCTATCTTCTGGATTATCTTCTTACTGAGACAAACTTAGGTTGGTTCAGTGGCTCCACTCAGACAAATGGGCTTTAATCACGTCTGGAAATGGCTAAGGGTGTGTCATTATTCTTACACATGTGACTGCTGTGAAACAGACACGAAAGTAAATACAAAAAAGTTTATTATTCCTGGTAACCCAGATTAAAGCTGCATTTTCAGAAACTTTCTATCGGTGTTCATGACATGACAATTTTGAACTGGTCCTGTTTATAAAAATAGCAATTAAAACGCTCTTAAATCATAGAGAATAAGTATAAAGACAATGACATTTATAAAAAGCCCACAGATAGCAAATGATAAAGGAATACCTCTGCTCTCTGTGTCCTGGGAAAAGCAGATGACTTTTCTATGGCATAAACATCCACCAGGTACAGGCATGCTCCTTGTTCTCGGTCCAAGATGGCTGCAGTCTGAATGACACCAGTCTGCCGTCCAATGGTAAAGAGGCGTCCAACAGTCTTTTCCTCACATCGAACAGAAACAATGTAGTACTCCACTGGGGCCTCAGACCCTCTGGAGCTGGCTGCTTCTATCGATATGACATTGGTACCAATGGGCTCCCCTTCCTTCAAGATGGTTATATATTTGGGCTGAGTGAAAACAGGCCCATCCAGGCCCTGGAGGATGACAGTCAACTCAGTGGTTGACTTCCTCCTCTCAGGGCCCAGGTCTGTGGCTGACACTATGAGGTTATAGATGAGTTGTGAAGGCACCAATGCAGAAGTCACACGCAGGTCTCCACTGTATCTATCCACAGTGAAGGTGTCTGTGTCCCCATTGACTATCTCGTACTCTACCTCACCATTGGCACCTTCATCTGGGTCTGCAGCCATGATGGTGGTCAGGACAGAACCAATCATGGCTGAAGGATCTGCTGCCAGGGCATTTTGTGATATAAACACTGGGACATTGTCATTGAGGTCTGTCACCAGAATGGTCACGTTTTTCAAGGCATACCTCCTGGTTTCTATTGGCACAGCTTGGTCATTGGCTTTGACAGTTAACTCAAACAAATTGGCAAATTCTCGGTCAATTTCAGCGCTGGTGTAGATGGTGCCTTTGACCTCATCTATGCTGAAGTGGTTCCCTCGGGGCACCTGCTGGATGATGGCATAGGAGAGCTGCCCGTTGATGTCTGCATCTGGGTCATGAGCAGTCACAGAAACGACAGACGAACCAACGGGGATGTTTTCCACGATAGACTTGAATATGTCTCCTGGAGGAAAGCTAGGAGGGTTGTCATTAAAATCCCTCACCTGGATCACTACTGACATTGTGGATGACCGAGGAGGGCGCCCTTGGTCCTTTGCTGTTATATTTAGTTTGTACAAAGACTGAGTTTCAAAGTCCAACTTTTTGGCCAGAAAGATACTCCCAGTGTTTGGACTAATGCTGAAAGTCCCATGATTGTTTGATCCTGTGATAGTGTAGTGTAAATCAGCATTGTCACCTGAGTCAGAATCAGTCGCAGTGACAGAGGACACGAGTTCACCTATTCTCATGTTTTCCAAAACATCCACAAATAGTGTTGACTTTGGGAAAGAGGGGCTATTGTCATTTTCATCCAAAACATCAATATTTAAGGTACAGGTAGAATTGAGGGGTACAGTACCTGAGTCCACTGCCTGGATGACCAGAGAATAGGTGGGGGTCGCTTCATAGTCTAACTTGCCTATGAGTGTCACCTGACCAGAGGCACTATCAACAGCAAACTGTCTCTCTTCGTTGCCTTTGACAATAGAATAATGAATGAGACCATTGCTCCCTTCATCCACGTCTGAGGCAGACACTCTTAAGACCTGGGTCAAATTGGTTGCTGTCTCTGATATTGTAGCTTGGTAAAAGTCTTTTAAAAACTTGGGAGCATTGTCATTGATGTCCTTCATGAACACGTGCACGGTGGCCTGATCCTTGAGGGGCTGCGGGAGGCCCTGATCTGTGGCTATCACTGTAAAGCTAAACACTGCAGTCCCTCTCCTCCTCATAAGTGACTCTCTATCAAACTGATGGGTGCTCCTAATTTCCCCAGAGACGGCATGCAACTCAAAATCTGGCTGCACCATCTCAAGAGCATACCTCACTTCCCCATTTGGCCCGAGGTCTCTATCGGCAGCATTTACTTTGCCTACAAATGACCCAGCTCTCTGTTCCTCTTCAAAGTAAAATGTGTAATTGGTGCTGTTAAACAAAGGTCTGTTGTCATTGACGTCTTCTAGAATCACAGTGACATTTACAGTGGCACTAAGGGGTTCCACTGCTCGGTCAGAGGCAACAACCAGTAAAACGTATCTGTCCTGAAGTTCACGGTCCATTTCACTCTTTATGTATAGCTGGCCATCTGGGAATATGCCGAAGGCGTCCCCTGTGTTCCCATTAGCAATGGTGTATGCTATCTCCCCATTTGCACCCGAGTCTTTATCAAAAGCTTGCACTTTAAAGAATCGAGAATTCACAGGTTCCGACTCAGAAAGGGTGACCTCATAGGAGATCTGGTCAAACACCGGTGGGTTGTCATTCACATCATGGACATAAACAGTTAAGATGACGCTGGAGGAAAGCTGGGGAACACCCATATCAGAGGCCAAGATTTCTACCTGGTAGGAGCCAGCATGGACATCCAGGGGACCCAGCAGACTAATATTACCATTCTGTTCATTAATAGCAAACAAGTTCTTGGGGTTCTGCCTTAGACTATAGAGTACCCTACCATTGATACCTTCATCAGGGTCCACAGCTTTGGCCTGAAAGATGCTGTGCCCTGCCTGCCAGTTCTCCACAGCATTTATGCTCTCCACCGCCTGTGGGAAGTGAGGAGCATTATCATTCAGATCTTTAACCGTTATGTTAACCACCGTGTCTCCTGTCACTGCACCCCCACTGGCCACTACTTTCAGCTGATAAAAGGACTGCTCTTCCCTGTCAATCATACTTGCTGTGGTCAGCTTCCCTGTGACTGGATTCATAGAAAACATACCTCTCTGGTCCCCAGTGGTAATGAGATAACTGATGTTGGCATTGAGGTCCATGGTAGATGCAGACACACTGCCCACATGGTATCCCAGAGCCACGTTCTCAAAGACCACGAAGCTGTAGGCAGCCTGGCTGAACACCGGTGGGTTGTCTTGTGTGTCCAACACTGTGACTGTTACTATGGCCTGGTTGGGAGATTGTAAATTGCCCCCATCGGTAGCCACTACTTGTAGCTGGTAGGCTGTTTTCTCTTCTCTATCTAGAGCCATTCTTGTAGAAATGACCCCACTGTGACCATTGATCTGAAACCGAGACCTGTCCCCAGCTGATATACTGTACTTGACTGTTCCATTGGGACCCATGTCTGGGTCAGTGGCGGACACTGTGGTGACGTAGCTACCTCCAGGCTCATTCTCCTGAATATGAGCAAAGTATTGGACTGGGTAGAACACAGGGCTATTGTCATTTATATCCAGAAGACTGACATTCACACGAGCTGTGGATGACTGGGGAGGGGAGCCAAGGTCTGTAGCCAGAATCACCAAGGAGTAGAAGGCTTGCTCCTCTCTGTCCAGGGAGGAGACAGTACTCAGCCTCCCAGAGACTGGGTCCAGGCGGAAGAGCCTCCCGTCACTCTCAGCTTCTTGCAGGGAGAATCTTACTGTCCCATTGTCACCCAAATCCCCATCAGTTGCTCCAAGAACTAACAGCTCAGTCCCAGTGGGAGCGTTCTCAACCACAGACACACCATAGCCTTCCGGCTGACTAAACACTGGCTGCTCATCATTGACATCCAAGACAGTGACCACAAGCTGGGCATAGGACACCTTGGGGTGCACTCCTTGGTCTCGGGCACTTATGTTCAGTACAATCTGAGAAGCAAGTTCACGGTCAAGGCCCCCAGAAGCCCCGGTGGTCACCAGGCCGCTGTGTTCACTAATATGGAACCAGCCCAGTCCATTACCAGAGACGATGCTGTAACGCAGGTTAGCATTAAGACCAGAGTCTCCATCAGTGGCAGAAACCCCACTCACGTAGCTTCCCGGAGGTGCCTCCTCACTCAGGTTCACTCTGTACACTTGCTGCGCAAAGACTGGAGGGTGATCATTAATGTCATTGACAAAAATCACCAGACTGGCCACGGAGGAGCGCGCCTGAAACTCGCCTGTAGGGGGCGCCCCAGCGTTGTCCGATACGGACACAGTGAGGTTGTAGGAAGGAATGCGCTCGCGGTCCAGGGCGCTGGCCACCTTGATGAGGCTCAGATTGGGTACTTTGCTCCTCTGTACCTCAAAGTGACGCTGCTCATTGCCCCCGAGAATCTGCACCGAGATATTCCCGTTGGCCGCGGGGGAGTCTGCGTCAGTCACTGTGAGCAGAGCCACCACAGTGCCCACCTGCGCATTCTCATCCACCGAGGCATAGCGCGAGGTGGCGGGGAAGTAGCGGAACTTCACCACCGGATCGTTGTCGTTGACGTCCCGAAGCTGAATGAGCGCTTCAGCGCGCCCAGTGAGCGAGGGCACGCCCCGGTCCACGGCCTGCACAGTCAGCGAGTACTGTCGCCGGGCCTCGAAGTCTAGGGGCTCGCGCACCGTGATAAGCCCGGTCTCTGGGTCCATCTGGAAGGGGGTCCCTTCGTCCTGCAGTCGATAATGGATGTCCGCATTGGTGCCTTCATCTGCGTCCGCCGCCGCCACCTGCAGGACGCTGGAGCCCACAGCCGCGTCCTCAGGCACCCCCGCCTGGTAGTGGGAACTGCCAAAAACCGGAGGATTGTCGTTAATGTCCTGCACCGTGACGTTGACCTGCAGGTAGCCCCGCCGCTTCGGCTCACCCTTGTCCTCCACCTCCACCAGGAGTTGGTACTGCGGCGTGACCTCCCGGTCTAGCCCTCCCTTGGACACCAGATGCAGGAATGCGCCCTCCCCGCTGGGGTTCAAGGTGATGTCCAGGCGGAAGCGGCCAGCCTCATTGCCGCGGACGATGCGGTAGGAGCGGTGGTCCACGCCGTTAGAGCCGATGTCCGAGTCCGTGGCGGTGTCCAGGATGACCTGACGCCCGCTGCTACTGTCCTCCTTGAAGGTGACCACGATCGAGGGGTCTGGGAAAACCGGGGCGTTGTCGTTCAGGTCCCGCACCAGCACGCGCACTTCGGTCGGGTAGGTGGGCGCACTGGAGAGAACCACCAGGTTGACCACGTCGCTGGGCAGGCTCTCGCGGTCGATAGTGGCGGTGGTGTACAGTGCTCCGGTGCTGCTGTTTATAGAGAACAGGGCGTGGCTTTCGCTAAGCCGGTAGGTGAAGCCTGGACGCGTGGGGATGGTGCCTACCAGAGTCCCGGGAGGCTGCTCTTCCAGGACCTGGAACACCTGGCGCTGCTCCGCGGCGTGGACCCGACCGAATCCCGGGAGCAGCGTTAGCAGCCCGCAGACTCGCAGGAGCTGGCTCACTGATGGAGAGCTCAGGGGGAGCCACCGGCGGCCAGGAGCCGGGTCTGTGGCCAAGTTCATGGTCCTGGCTTCTGGGAACCGCCGGAGGAAGAGAAGCAAGGTGAAGGAAACTGAATGAGCTATACAAGGGTTAATTGGCGCCAATAAAATACTAGCTCCGCCAGAGACCCCTGCTGTTCAGGGGACTCAGCAAGGGTCAGAAGTGCAGGGAAAGGCTCCAGGTGGCCGGTGAGACGCGCAGTGGAGGAGAGGCTGAGGCGACCTGCAGCCGGGCATCCCCGGGCTCTGCTGCGAAAGTCCACAGACCTCCTGAGAGTCCCAGTCACTTTAATTGGAATCCCAGGTCTGAGCGCAGCCGGCCGGGAGAGGCGGCCTGGACTTTGGGGATATGAGGAGTCACTCAGAGCAGGCAGGTCTCCCCGAAAACTTTAAAACTTACCCGGAGTGGAGACTCCGAGGAGGGTAGAGCCAAAGTGGCAGCGCCCCTGAGCCCCGGGGACCAAGTGGGGACTCCAGGAAAACCCGAGGCTGGTGATGCGGACTTTTCTCCAGTATCGCTTCGGGGAAGCAGGACGTTAGTCCCCGAATTGAGCTTCCGTGGCCTCAGAGGCAGCCGGGGCACCGCGTCCCCACCGCGGCTCCCGCAGCTTTCAGTTCCGTCCCCTCCAGGCCACCGAGGGCTGCCACTGTGCCGACTGCGGCTTGGAGCCCGAGGTCCCGCCCAGGCGGCCGCTGGCTCTCCTCCGCATCCTTCACCTCCGCCCAGGCATCATTTGTACATCCACCGAGCGCGGGTCCCCCTTCCTCTTCTGCGTTGCGGGGGTCGGGCAGCAGCAGCAGCGCGCTAACCCGGAGTCCCCTCCCCTCACCATGCCAGGGACGCTTCCTCGGGCCGTGGAGGGCACCAGCGCCCCCGAACGCGCCTCGCCCCTGCCCTGGAATCTTTGCTTTTATTGTCCCGGGTCAGTTTCACTTTGTAATCCTCCAGGCTTTATGTTTGGGGCGGGTGGGTCTTTCTCGCCGACCCCGTGGTGACCGGGACGCGGCAGTGCGGGACAGTTGCACAGGGCACCGGATGGGCGCGCTCCAGGCCGCCCTGGGCTCGGAGGTGGCACCGCCGAGCTGCCGCCCGGCGAGTCCCCCGGCAGCCTCTCCGGGTCGCTTGCAGTCTCCCCGCCCCTTCCCCGCTGCGCGCACACACGCACACACGCGCGCACACACGCGCGCACACACAGGGGGAGGGCTGACCGCGATCGGGAGCAGGACTCAGAAACTTTGCTCTCCTCTCTGTGCTCCCTGCACTTTAGTGGGTCGCCACTCCCCCGGCTCCGGGTCCTGTCACCCGCTGGCCCTCCCTCGACCCAGCCCATTGGGCCCCAGCCCGGGCCGCCCCGCCTGGCGTCCCCCTCCCTGGCCTTCGCCTCCCGGCCGCCACTGGCTAGTGGCGACGCTCATCACCACGGCCTCCCGAGACTGTGGGCGGGCGGTGGGCGAGCCCAGCGAGGCGGAGGCGCTAAGAAGGGGTGACCACCCCCCAACTCCTTTTTATTTATTTAATCCGCCCCCCCCTTTGGTCCCAATTTGGCCGACGTCAATGCAATCCCATCAAAAAGCAACCTCCGAATAGATGGGGGTGGGGTCAGGTTAGATTGTTAGACTAGTAATAACTCAAGGGGGGGAAGGGGGCCGAGGGAAATAAAAGAAAGGCGGGGGGCGGGGGGAGGGGTGCGAGGGTCTGTTAACGCTGGGAGGAAGGATTAAGCAAAGCCTGTCTGGGAATGCGCGGCGCTGCTTCGCTTTAACTGTTTCCTGCCCTGGCTGTTCATAGCAAGGAATGAGGTGCTGGATGTCCAGGGCGATCCCACAGAATCCCAAACCTTCCCCGCGCCCTCCACCTGCGCCTGCTTGTCCCTGTCCCTGGGTCCAGGTGACACTATGGCTTAGGTGCCCGGTGCTCTCAACTTCCTAAAGAAAAAGAGGGGCGGGCAGGCCCCGATGTGCATGGTTAGCCTCCCAGAAGGACTCCGAGTGTCCACAGACAACCCATAGGTTTTCAATGCTAACAATGGCAGCCTTCTGCCAGGAGAGATCTTTTCCTCTTACAGACTCAGTTTGGAATTTTGATCCCTGGTGGGGCATTTCCCCCTCGACATTTTCTAGCCAAAGGAAATCTAATAAAGTTTGGTTTTGTTTTTGGCCTGGGGGAAGAATATCTATGAGAAAATAGAAATAAATGAAATGAAGTTTAAATTTAATTTTTAAAGTGCTACATACCACGGACTGCACTCGTATGAATTAATTAATTCCTCTGCGGTCACCGCGGCTCATTTGTGTGATGGCGCGCACGGCTTCTTTAAAAGAAAAAGTGACGAGGAATCAGGTCAGTAATTTTCCCCTTTAAGGGAACCAACTTACAAATTATGAATTTCAGCCAAACAATGCAAATATAGGGCATATGTCATACAATTTTGCCACGGGAACCCCTCCAAACCCAAAACTTTCTGCACCTCTAGGTAGTTCAGGCATGGGTCAACACTGCCCTCTGCTGGTTACTGTCAATCTTGCAAGTTTACCCCAGGATTTCTGGCTTTAAATTAAATGCAGAGACCGGAGGATCGGGTTACAAAGCTAATTCCTCCTTCTTGCCAAGGGATAGGGGCAAAGAAAATGATCTGAAAGAATCTCCTACTGTCTTTCCTAATGTAAGATTGGAAAACAATGAAGAGCTACGTTGTAGACAACACATTCAAGTCCTGAGGATTCGGACTGCCTGTAACCCGAGCTGAGGGAGGTTGGGAGCCTAAAACTGTTCCGAATTCCTTTGTTTACGTTAGACCACTCACTTCAGTGGCAACCTCCACTGGAACATACTGGGTGGATTCCAGACAAAGTTAGGTCACTATCTCTGCAGTTTTTAGGCTAGAAAACTGAAGGAAAAAAAATAAAGAAACGTTTTCATTCATTTTCTCAAATTATTTTATCATTGCTAACAGCTGACCATGTCATTATTTTGGTGAAATTCAGCCAAGAAAAAATCTATAGATTGATTGAGTCAAAATCACTACAAATCATGGCTATTGAAGAGAGAGAGCAAGCGAGAGAGTTAAAAAAATATATGTAATTCTGTTTTGTTTGGTAGTTCACCATATTTCTATCATTCTGGTACAAAGTGATAGAAAGAAATCACAAGGACAAAAATGGTGATACGTGCTGGGCTTTTGTTGTTTTGTGAATTTGTTTGGAGAACATGCAAAATCACATAGGATGAAATTAGCATCACTTATGAGGAAATTTAAATGGGTAATTTAAATTTTCATTCTGTTTAGAGGGAGAGTTTAATTTGAAAAACAAGTGTATGTTTTTAGTTTTATAAAATAAAGCAACATTTTATGGTCTTATTCAGCCCATAAGATATTTTTTTGATAATCCCAAGAAAGGATTGCCAAAAATTATCTAGGTAACAGAATGGTTACTTACATGACCAGCCTTCCAATGATGTGATGTACTCAATTTATAGATGAATCCACAGAAAATTGCAATTTGCACATGCAGCACGTAATTTAAACTAAATATAGAGAATCTTTTTTAATAAAACAAGAAATGGAGCTTTAATTATATTTTATTTTCATTTTCTGTCTTAGATTTTTAGAACTGTGGTAATATGGTACATGATAATTTTTTTTTTTTCCTTTCCTGGGGAGATGGCTCAGTGGGTAAACCTGACAACCTGAGATCAATCCCCATAGCCCACAGAGAAGCCAGACACAAGTGACTGTAATCCTAGTGCTCCCTACCAGGAGATTAGGCAAAACAAGGATGAAGAGAATCCATGGACACCCTGAACCATCTAGTCCTAGGAACTCACAAGAGAGGGGCCATGTCTCAAACAAGCCTGTAAGCAAGGACAGACAGACAGACAAAGGTTGTTCTCTGATAGCCTTACATGTTCCTGCATGCACACACTCACACATATCACACAAAAGTAAATAGATGAACCAAATATAGTGGCTCATGCCTTTAATCCCAGCACAGGCAAACCAAGGCCAGCGTGGTGTACAAAGCAAATTCCAGGACAGGTGGGGCTACAGGGAGAACCTATCTCAAAAAAACCAATAGTAATAATAATAATAATAATAATAATAATAATAATAAATACACCCATAAATATTCTTACCAAATAAGTGGAAAAACATGTAAATGTCATTTATACACAAAATACTTAAAATTCATGAAATATTAATAACTAGATGTCATAATATCATAATGGAGCTATCAATTGCTGGGTAATGTAAAAATCATTTCTACTTACACATTTTCATTGTGTTTCAAAAAGCTAACATATTTTAACATATTTTATTCCACCAAAAGCTTATTTATGAAAATTTGTGGTTCAGTCAGAGTTTTAATAAAAATGAAGTTAGATACTTCTCAGGGATAAGCTATCCCCATCTCACTAGGTGGCAGGAACACACATGTGTGACCAAGCATAGAGAGGAGCAAGGGAACAAAACTCAACTTGAGCTTATAGCATCTACTGAACCAAGTGATTTATGGTATCCTACTATGCTCTGTATGCTGTACATGTTTTTGTCATTATTTTAATGTGTTAATTTTTCTAGGTTTGAGACCCCAAGTGATGATCAGGTGAACCATACTCTTCAGCTCCTAGTGCATCAGCAGGTTACTCCACTGGACAGAGTTCTCTTCCCTTCTTCCTTTTCCACTCTGACCTCCCTCTCCCCTTTTCTTCTCCCTGCCTGTATGTTTTTTTCCTCCATATCCCAGTCTTCAATGGTTAATATTGATTGTCAACTTAAAAGTACCTAGAGTCACCTAGGAGAGAAGTCTCTGGGCATGCCTGTGAAAGAGTTTCTAAATTGGGTTAACTGAGGTGAGAAGACCCACCCTAACTGTGGGCAACACCATCCCAAATAAAAATGACAGGATTCAAAACACATCTTTCATTAATACCTTTAAATATCAACTGACTGAACTCCCCAGCCAAAGACACAGACTAGGTGAATGGATTAAGAACAAAATTCATCTTTTTGTTGTCTGCAAGAAACTCATCTCACTTTCAAGAATAGGCACTACCTTAAGGTGAAAGGATGGAAAAAAATATATACCAAGCAATTGGTACTAAGAAAAAAAGCAGGCATCACAATTCTAATAATTGACAAAATGGACTTTAAACTAAAACTAATTAGAAGAGATAAAGAGGGCCACTTCATTCTAATCAAAGGAACAATAAACCAAGAAGATATTACAGTCATGAACATATATGCATCAAACTCTGATGCACCCAACTTCGTAAAAATACTACAGGACTTTAAGACCCAAATTAATCCCAACTCATTAATAGTAGGGGACTTCAATACCCCACTGTCTCCATTATATAGGTCAACAGGGCAGAGAGTTAACAGAGAGACATCTGAATTAAACAATACCATATATCAAATGAACTTAACAGACATCTACCGAGTATTCCACCCAAGCACCAAAGGACATACTTTCTACTCGGCACCCCATGGAACCTTCTCCAAAATCAACCATATACTGGGGCACAAAACAAATCTCAACAAATACAAAAAGACTGAAATAATTCCACGCATTCTATCAGATCACAATGCAATAACCCCTATTTTTCACCCTGCACAAAAGTAAATTCCAAATGGATCAAAGACCTCAATATAAAGCCTGC